ACCGAGGAAAGAATGCCAAGAAGCATGAAATCCATATTGGGTGCCATCTTGTTAATTTAGAGATTCCCGTGTAAGATATCTCCATGTCCCAACCAAAAGAAGGATATTGACTTGTAAATTACAAAAAGTACCCTTATTCTTTGCGATGCACCATTTCACCATTCAGAATAAATTAGCTGTCGTTCGTGTAGGCTTAGTGTGTTTACTCCGATCCCGCTCCCCAGTGTTGCCGGATATCGTGCCGGAGTTATGTCGGATTCATGACTGCTTCGACCTTCGTATCGGTGCCTGGATCTTCTGTTTTTAATGTATGAGACATTTTTGTGCTGAGTTCATGAGATGAGCTGAAGATTGAAATGGTGGTTGTCCAGTGACAGGTCGATGTGTTGGGACATGGAGATATCTTACACGGGAATCTCTAAATTAACAAGATGGCACCCAATATGGATTTCATGCTTCTTGGCATTCTTTCCTCGGTCGAGATGGTCCGAGGAACTTCAGATAAGCATAACGTTTCGCGTCCGCACTAAACTGGTTCGGTCCGCACTAAACTGGTGGAAATTCGAAACGGGCCTCAAATCGGTCTAACGTTACACGTCCTCCGAAGTCGTTCTGAAAGTCTGAATAGGCCTGTGATCGGCTTAACGTTACGTGTCCTCGGCGAGATGTCTCGTTGTCAGATGGTGTGAAGAAATCTTGCCCAGTGTTGCGGTAGCTTTATGCTAATTTTTTGTTTATTCTCAAAAGTAGTTCCAGTTAGCTAATTAAAACCAGCGTAACGGCTCTTTAAAATGGTTTTTATTGCTCGTTAGTCATCCATTTACTACTGAAGTTGCGGACGAAAAATGAAATAGCATACCGCGAAAATACTCCGCTGTGAAATTAAATTCTCGACAACGCGGTCGATCGTCCCTGCAGGAGAGGATCGTTGGCTGTGCACCCTGCTGCTTCAGCGCGGGTACCGGGTGGAGTACTCGGCCGCGAGCGACGCGTACACGCACTGCCCCGAGGGCTTCTCCGAGTTCTACAACCAGCGGCGCCGCTGGGTGCCCTCCACCATGGCGAACATCATGGACCTCCTCATGGACTACAAGCACACGATCAAGATCAACGACAACATCTCGTTCCCGTACATTTGCTATCAGTTCATGTTGATGATGGGGACGATCCTGGGGCCCGGGACCATCTTTCTCATGTTGGTGGGGGCGTTCGTGGCCGCCTTCAGGATCGACAACTGGACCTCGTTCTATGCCAACATTGTGCCGATCCTTTTCTTCATGGTCATCTGCTTCCTCGCCAAGTCCAAACATCAGGTAAGGGATCGCCAGGGTTGACGTGAACGGGTCGGAGGTCTTTTTTTTTTAATAAATACTTTATTATTGCATTCGAGTTTTAGACAATACAGTCTACGATCATAATTACATAACTGGAAATCCACTTCAAGTTCACAATGCACCGTGGAAACGTTTTTCTAAAAGAATACCCCTAATTTTGTTTCACTTTGGGTTTGACCTTCACCAGGCATATGGTGCATATTATTTCCTCCTGATGTTCGAGTTGATATTTCCATGCATTCAACGTAGACGAGAACCTTTGAACGTCTTTTTAAAAAAAATTGTCGCAAAAAGAAAATGTTGCCAACCCGAAACGTCATTCTCGTGGACCAGGTGATCGTGGCGCAGATCATGTCTGCGGCCTACGCCTTGGTCATGATGGCCGTGATCGTGGGCACGGCCCTGCAACTGGGCGAGGACGGGATCGGGTCCCCGTCGGCCTTCTTCTTGATCACGCTGTCGGGGAGCTTCTTCATCGCGGCGGTGCTGCACCCGCAGGAGTTCTGGTGCATCGTGCCGGGGATGCTGTACCTCCTGTCCATTCCGTCCATGTACCTGCTGCTCATGATCTACTCGCTGGTGAACCTGAACAACGTGTCGTGGGGGACCAGAGAAGTGCAGACGAAGAAGTCCAAGAAGGTTCGTTTTTTGTTTTTAGACCGTGAGGCTCTCGGGAGAATTTTTTTTAAAGTATTTATTTTTTAAATTTGGCTGGAAATGTTAGGAACTGGAGCAAGAGAGGAAAGAAGCGGAGGAAGCGAGGAAACGTCAGAGGCAGAACGCTCTGCTGGGGATCCTGAACCGGAACGGGGCGGACGACGAGGAAGGCTCCATCGAGTTCTCCCTGGCCGGGCTCTTCAAGATCATCTGCTGCACTTATCCGAAGCAGATCGACGAGAAGCAGCAGCTCCTGCGCATCGCGGACAGCCTGGAGGGGATGAGCAAGCGGTTGGACCTCATCGAGAAGTGAGTCCGTCGAGGGACGAAGGAGTGGACCGTGTGTGAGATTTTTTATTCATACGTTTTGTTTATTTATTTTTCAAATAAGGACTGTGGATCCTCACGGTTTGGGACGGAAGAGAAGCTTTTCTCGGACGTCAGTCCGGGGGCCAGCGAGCGAGACCCTGGGGACCGTCGCCGAGGGAGAGAACGAGGAAGACTTCTTCGACGACAACGTCACCGAGACGGAAAGCGTACGCATCGGTGAGGGTTCATTAATTTTTTAATGATATATATTTATGTATTTATTGCCTTTCGAGGAGGAAAACCCGAACGTTATTCCACATTGCTCCCTCAGTTCCCAAGGTGGATCGGGACGATCTGATCAATCCCTTCTGGGTCGAGGACCCAGCCCTGAAGAGAGGAGAGATGGAATATCTGCCGGGTAGCGAGCTCGCCTTCTGGAAGGACCTCATCGAGAAATACCTCTTCCCCATGGAGCTCAGCAAAGAGCGCAAGGTAACGATCTCGAGAGAATTTCCTTGGAATTTCCAGATGGGAGTCGCCCGGTTCCTCGTCGCCTGCACGATGCAATGTGCACGCCTGCGAATCCGGTGGTGACCGTGCAGAATGCAAATCCCCTTCCGGCCCCCGTCCACGATCCCACTCGTAAACGGGGAGGCTCAATGACGCGGGTTTCGAAAGAGATCGTGGTCTTGACCCTTTCACGCCCGAATTTATATTGAGTCTGGGAGAAATCTTCCAGTTAGTTTCGTGGATTCAATATGTACGTGCTTTTTTAAATTTTTTTTAGCTGAACGATTTTTAAAATTTATTTAAGAAAGTCGTGCTGGTAAATTCTGCTTGCAATCGAATCCGTATTTTCCCTCATGTTTCTTGGTGTCTATGTACCGCCTACCATAATCGAACTTGCCCAACCAAGAAAAAATAGCTTGTTCAAGTTGTCAGAGACCTCTAACTTCCCTCGATTTTATCTGCTTTAGGTGTATCTATAAACACATCATTATGAATCATTGTGAATGTTATGGCTTAGGTGACGTCGTATTTCGAGAAAAACTGATGATCAGTCAGGAAAATTCTTGACAGGCGATTCCAAGAAAAAACTTTGGGCGCGAAAGGGTTAAAAGAAAAAAAAAAACATGGCCGGCTGGGGATTTGCACGGCAGAGACGCACGGGCGTGCCGAAATGCCAAGACTGTGGGGATTATGGCATATTGTGGGGAATTTTGGGGTGAAGAGCTCACCCGTCATGTTGTCTCCTTTCGTCCCGGAACTCTAGGCCGAAATAGCAGGGGAGCTGAGCGAGTTGCGGACTCGCTCCGTGTTCTTCTTCTCCATGACCAATGCCACGTTCATTATCGTTGTATTCCTCCTGCAGTTGAACAAGGAAGCCCTGCACGTAAAGTGGCCCTTCGGGGTCAAGACTAACATCACGTTCGTGGAGGAGCTCGACGAGGTGAGTGTGGGACGTTTCTCGACTGAATTTTTTTTCTTCTTTTTTTTTTATTCCAGGCGCAAATCACGGACGACTTAAAGGAGTTGCGCACTAAGTCCGTCACCGCCTTCTTCATGTTCAATGCCCTGTTCATTCTGGTAGTGTTCTTACTCCAGTTAAACAAAGACCAGCTACACATTGATTGGCCGTTCGGCGTTCGCACCAACATCACCTACATAGAAGAGACCTCGGAGGTAAATAACACGGTCGGGTGTGGTCGGTCCGTCGACCCTGTTGTTGTCCGTAGAGATGCCTGAACCTCATTAGAGAAACATTTTTCTTTTTTTTTTGTTTCGGTGACAGATTCACTCTCACTCTCTTCCACTCTCTACCTCTCCCCACACGAAATGACTCTCACACTCCCGTAACACCGATTCACCCTCTCTCGTGGTGGCCCCCCTCCCCCCTGGGGGTCGAGGTGACGTGGTGGCCCATTCTCGTGTACAGGACGTCGGGCTGACGTTTCTTTTTTTTTGTTTGTTTTTCTCGTTTGGGCGATCTATCGCTTGTCCCTTTTTAATTGGCGGGCATTTATTTGTTTTGGACGGGCCATGTGGAAGGCGATGGTATAACCCTGTGTGTGGTGCTTTTGTGTTTTTTTTTTCGTGTCGTTGCTTTCTTCGTTTCCCCCTTTTTTTTATTAGTATAAAATTTTGAATCGAATTTTCCTTTCGGGGAAAGACGATCTGACGGGAAGGAATTTTCTGTTCTGGTTCCAGTGGCGGATCTCGAAGGAATACTTGCAGCTGGAGCCAATCGGCTTGGTATTCGTGTTCTTCTTCGCGCTCATTCTGTTCATTCAGTTCATAGCGATGTTGTTCCATCGCTTCGGGACCATCTCGCACATCCTCGCGTCCACGGAGCTCACGTGCTGCAGCAAGAAGGTGCTCGGACTCGTTTCGGTGGACTTGTTTCGGAGGTGGTCCTTTCGAGACGGAAAAATCGGCACTGTTTCTTTTTTTTGTTGCGCAGGTGGACGATGTGAGCGAGGACGCGTTCATCGACAAGAACGCGGTGGCGATCGCGAGGAACCTGCAGCGGCTCCGCGGGCTGGACGGCGACTACGAGAGCGACACGGGGTCGTCGAACGACCGGCTGGGTCGACGGAAGACGATCCACAACCTGGAGAGGCAGAGGAAGCGGAGCCGCCAGATCGGGACGTTGGACGTGGCGTTCAAGAAGCGGTTCTTCTCGATTGCGGCGGAGGGGGGGCCGGATAATCCGCTTGGTGAGGAGGAGGAGGAGGAGTTTCTGTTTCTGCTTGGTTTGCTGGTGGTTCGGGGGATTGACTTTGTTCTTGGGGCTTTTTAGGGACGCCGATTCTCAGTAACATGAGGAAGTTGTCGATGCGTCGCGAGACCATCAAGGCGTTGGAGGTGAGAAGGAACACCGTCATGGGGGAAAGGGCCGAGAAGAAGAAGATGGAAACTCTGGGAGCAAAGAAAGGTACGTCTTATCGTCTTCCAAGAACGACGGACGGTATCGACGATCCCGTTGCGATCTTTTTTGTCGAAGTGTCATTTTCCCCCCTTATTCTCAGGCGAGGCGATGAAGGCGAAGCTGGCCAAGGCGGGACTGATCCAAGGTCTGAACGGGAACCTGCCGTTGGCGGCGGCGAACCCGTACGGCGTCACCAACCGGGCGTTCGACGACGCGGACGAGGACCCGGGAAGGTCGAGGGGCAGCCTGAAGATGGCGGCACTGTCGTCGAGTCGCAACTCGCTCGCGAGGAATTCCCTCTCGCAGTCCAGACAGGATCGGCTCAACAGTCCCCTTTAGGGCCTCGGTTTGCGAGAGGTGCCTTTACGCTTACACGTGCTTTCCCGAATTTCCCGAGCGGCTCCTTCGCGAGTCGAGAGTCGGACCGCGAAGTCGAGCCGCTCGGCAGTACCCGAAATACTCCCACGAAACCTGCTTGCGAGTTGCAAGGTCGACTGCGATCGTGTCTCCTGTCTTTCTTTCTTTCCCCCCTGTCCCCTTTTGTTTCTTTATATCCGTGCATTTATTTCTTCGTTTGCCTCTCGCTGTGTCTGCGGTCTCGTTCGATTTTGTGCATTTTTGACCTCGTAGTGTTTTGGACTCCGTGAAAGAAAGTTATGATTTTATCCGAATCCTTTCATTTTTTCCGACATGAACACGCTGGTTAGACACTCTTTTGAGCACAGGACGTTTCGATTCCACCAGTTGCCGTGCTAAAAGATGATATTCACACCTTGCGAAAGTAAACAATTCCCCAGAGGTGCAAAAAAGGAATTACTCCGTCCAATAGGGTGCGAATTTTCACGCTCATTTGATCACTTAGCACTGATCCCCGACCACCACCACGATTCGCTTCTTCGTCAGGTTTTCTTTGGCACAATAATGGCAGAGCAGATGCATACACAAGGGTGATTTATCTTTTGTAAAATGATGATTAAGTACAAGATTTATGCACTGATTAGCTGAAGGTACAGCACGAAACAGATACTTATACCAGGACGATCTCCATCTCAAATGAGCCAGAGACTGGAGTATGACCCCCTCCGATATTGACAAAAAAATTTCTCATGTGGTACCCCTCATGGCCCACAATTAGAACGTAAAATTTTGGTTTTCGGGTACGGAGCCGTTTTGTCACAATAATTCCTTAAATTTTGTGAAAATTAAAAACGGGGCACCTCTTCATGCTCATGCGGGCCAAAAAAATTTCGATCAAAACGAACGCAGCGAACACCATTGTTCTTTAAAATGGTTAGACTTTCGAAGTCATTTCATATACAGGGTGACCCAAAAGTCTGGACACATAGGCGAAAATATAGTAATTTTATTCAATAACATTTTCAACATGGCGCCCATCATTAACGATGCAAAGTTGCAAAGCGATTCACAGAAACAGGCAGTGTCCAAGACACTTCTTTGAATTTTCTAACCACCGTCGCCACTGTGCCAAAAGAAATGGGAGTCCTGGGATGACGTGCATCTGCTATCCGTCGATATGACCACCCCTCACGTCCACTCAGCAGTACCAATTTAATTCGTTCTTCTTTCAACAAATTCATATTCGATCTGGGGAAAAAAAGAAAAACAGAATATTAGTACTATTACCTATGTGTCCAGACTTTTGGGTCACCCTGTACTTTTCTCCTCGAGGCGATATTGAATGAAATAAAGGTATGTGAAATTTGCCTATTTTTGGCAGATTCAGAAATTTGCAAAACATCATGTTCATCAAACCCTATCATCTATGTTTTTGGAATCGGCGGAAGAAGATCTAATGATGTGTATCCCATTTTTGTCCCTACAAACCATCACATCGCCCTACAGGCGAAGTGATGGCTCGAAATATGCAAAATCACAAATTTGCAAAAAAAAAAAACTTTTCAATTGTATGGTGCCATTTACTTGAGCAAAAGATGAGAGCAATTTCAAAGCTCATATATATTTTTATACATACCATACATTCTTATTCAGACCACACCTCACAATTTTTGCCGTTGTTTTTAAGGCCAAAAAACCATCCAGTTTTTATGACTAATTCTTCGCTTTTTTTTTCTTCATAACTGCAAACAAAGGAAAAAAATTTCGCCTTAAAAACAATGGCAGAAATTATGGACCTCGAAGTAGCCCTTACCGGTAGTCCTGATATGTGTAGCACACCCCATGACTCATTGCCTTCCCCGGTCAGGCGCCAGGCTGCGGTCCTCGAAGGGGTTGGAATTAATTGCTACTTCCCCTTTACACGTGTCCTTTCATCATTAACAGAGGAGAAGTGACAGGGAATTATGACAGCGACGAGTGAGGACAAACTGGTGGCCTTCGTGAAATCTATGGCTTTGCCGCGATTCCACTGTCAAGAGGGATCAGAGGTCAACCACTTTCCCCCCCAAATCTCCTGAATCTATTTTAGGTAACATCCTTCCGGCCTTCTGACCATCCAGCGTCTGAGTTTACCTTGACGTGGACAGACATGAAGAACAGTATAAAAACTCGACTTGGAGGGTGGAGGTTGGTGAAGGGTTCCGGACTTCGTGGCTGCTGCTATCATCAGGCACCGGGTTAGGGTCCCCGTTTGCTAAATTTCCTGTTGTTGTTTGCCTTGCTATTTCTACTCGGTTGAAGCTGAGGTGCCTAAGCGCTGGTTGTACCCGGGCTTGGGTGGATCTGGTTGGGGCCAGATTCTGTTCCTTTTTGGTTGGAGCCAGAAGGGACGCATAGAAATAGTCGGAATCGGATAGTGGGCGTGCGGACGGTTGGAACCCTAGCGACCCCTTCCGTCCCCATTGTTTAGCCGTGATTGAACAAATCACGAGACCGCATAATTTTCTGCCCGAAGGGCAAACAAACTCGACAGTAACAAATGTAACGGCAAAAATGTAACCCTAAGCTTCTAATTACGCCGAAGGGGTGCCTTCTTCAAAGCTTTGATCTTTTATTATAGCAAACTGGGCAGAAATAAGAACCAAGGTGCAGGCATAAGCTCACTCGACTAGGCAGACCTACCATAGGCCCGGTGCGAACGACCGACAAGAAACACGTGAAATAGCCATTCAGCCTGGGATACTAGCATTCCATATTGTACGATCTTCATCTTTGGCGCGATGTCATGTAGAGCAGTAGTGTTACCGGAGCCTCTGGACCAGATAGGTTGAGTTGCATTTTCAACTCCTTAGGCCTAGTAGCGTCATCTTTTGGTAGGAAGAATAAATATACTTTTCTTGGTAAGGTGGGAAACGTTATTTCATATTGTGCGGAATTATTGGTCTAAATGTGTGCCACGGAAGAAGAGATTTCCACATGAAGTACATTAAATTTCTTTCTTTTAGTACTACCAGCAAATAGCCATGCTCGATTTCCAGGGGGGGGGGTTTGGGAAGGGAGGCAAACGCCCCCTCTTGCCCCTTAGAGCGGACGCCCATGTGTGCTATGATGCACGAGAATAAATAATTTTTCTTCCAATGGGAGTACAATTCATTGTATGAAGAAGCAAATCATTCCTTTTCAGAAATGAAAAGTTCCCATAATTTTCATAGTTTTCTTTATTGCTGTATACATTTTAAAGTTTTCATTGCAGGCCCCAAAATTACCAGACAGTATTTTGTGTGAATTAAAATACCTAGGTATAAGTTGAAGCTTCACCTTTTTCAAGAGTCAGAGGATCAGTATCTTACTATTATGTCTGATTACTTTCAGATAGGTTGCATTTTATTCCAGAATGGCAGAATGGTTTCGAATTTCCTTTTGGTTTATTGCAGCTGCAGAGCCATGAAAATTGTGATTTAAGATTATGATTCACCACTTTTTTTATGTCAGAGCTTCTCTTGTGACTCTTGGCTCTCCCTTGGACATAACAGTAGGCTTAACTTCATCTTTCATTAATAATTGCATCTCCATCTATTCTCTCTTTGACTCCATTACCATAGGAACTTTTATTGTTATTCAGCACCAATCTATTACTTCAAGATCCTTTCTCTTTGGTCTGCCTATAATATATTTAAATTGTGACTGCTCAAACTGAATGGTCTCTTGAGAACTAATAATTATTACCTAAGGTTTAGATATGGGGCATTTGCAAAATGAGAATAAATTATTTGGATTTGTAGTGGTTCACATTTAATGGTTAACGTTAATCCAGTTGAATTTATGCCAATTGAACCTTCCATAAGTTCATGTGTTTTTAAGAGATTTTTAGAACACACTAACTGCCTTAAGTAATCCATGAGAATTCGTGTTAAAATGTGTTATTTTTCATTTTTTTATTTCCAAAGTTTGAAAGGGTGGGCCATATCTCAAGTCTCATTTTACTTCTTCCTGAGGAAGGAAAACCTGCTTCTTCATGGGTTGACTCACAAGGAGCATGAATAGGCTAATCCTAGATCTAGCAAGGGATAATGCGATTGGTTATGAATAAAGAAATCATGAAGTGAACCTTGAACTTGACCATTTTGTTTTTTCTTTGTTTACTTGCCTCCTTGTTTCTTTAGCCAAACCAAATCACGAGTGCTTCTCACTATAATTAATTTTTTTTTTTCACTTTGTGACTTTTCTTTGTAATGTCATTAGTGATCATAGGTACAACCATTATTTTCTTTCTTAGCTGGATCACAGATTTTAATTGGAAACAACTGAGCAAATTCAAGCTCAAACAGATGGCATTAGGACTAAGGAGAGTTGAACCAACTTGATTGTGAACTATCTACCTCAAATGATGACTGACTGAATCGGAGAGCATGTTCTTCACCATTGGACCCATCAAAAGTTCCAGGGATGGCATTGAAAGACTATAAAGTAGGTCTTCAAATCCAGAATGTTTTTCAAGATTGGCACAGGTTACTAAAAACGATTAATGTCTTAATCTCAATTATGGACTGGTTATAGCCCTCACTTAGGGTTTATCAACTACCAATGGCTGGAAAATGCCTGAGCCTCATAAACCTTAATTGGTCTTGAAGTCAAGAACAAAGGAATCAAGGTTTCCTATGCCCAGCCTCCTGGTGAAAATATCAATGATACTAATCTTTGGCTTATAGCTCTTAATTCTTTCAAAATGAATCATTCGTAACCACAAGTCAAGAATGATATTTTTTATTGTTCAGAAAATGTAAACCCACAACAATCAGCAACCAAGATGTAGAGAATAGTGGGTACCTTAATTTATAAAATAAGCAAGAGAAAGGGAAGGGCAAGGTGTGTTGGAAAAAAAAGTCTAGACTTATTGTATGAAGTGACCAAAGCAACAATTAAAAAAGAAAGTCTCATCTCACTCAATTCCATCCATACATGAACACTAGCTTTCCAGCAAAAGTCCCATATCCATAGCACTGTTAAGGCCAATGCCTCTGCAGCATGGCTAACTAGCCTTCAGGCAGAACTTCTTCTCCATACACTTTCATGACACAACCCCAATATCTTGGCATTACATGGAATGGGGTAAGCAAAAAATGAACATTATCTTCATTTATGCCTCCTGCCACAATTTCCACCTTGGGAGTATACTTCCTTTCATCATCCACAGGTACAACAGCGATTCCCGTTACCCTCAGGCCATCCTTCTGCAACCAGGTTCTATAGGGATTCCTTGTGTAATGAATGACTTTCTCCTGATGTACTTCCTTTTCATCGCTAATCTCCCCAAGAGTGAATGTAACTCGAGGAAACATCAGATTGATGAAGTACCCAGCCAACCACTTCACAACTGTTATGGGAAGTTTTGGAACTTTCCATAACAATTCAGCAATCTCAAAGTAAACCATAACCTCACAGAGAACAGGGTTCCACTTCACCTACAAAAAAAAGGAGCCAAATATTACATGAGTAAATGTAATAACTGCTTTTTTAATAAACTTTGTGCAACCTAACCTGAAAAAAAAAGGTAAACAAAGGGCCATTCTATGCCAAAGGACTGATCTGATTTTTAGTCTTGGAGCTGAACAATTTGAAAATTTTTAAATGCCCAACTGAGTCTTGATAAGAAACTTCAAAATGTTTTTTCTCCTAATGGTTTACAAGGTATGAATTTTTAGTCTTAGCTTACAGGCATATATAACCCTTCAGAGTATTTTTTAATGCTGGAACTACTATAGCCAGAAGTTGGGTGTCATGACTCATACGAAAGATATGCATTAGTATACTTAAGATATCAAAACAAAAGTGTGGCTTTCAAAGAAGCTCTTTTTTTTTAAAAGTAATATTAACTTCAATAATTTCATGACCCTTTAACATTTTTTGGAGAAAAAAAAAACAAAATGGCAGTATGGACACCTGCTCTTGCCAACTAGTCCAGATAATTTGGAGAAAACAAATATGTTTCCATTTGATTCCTCCTTATTTTAAAAACAGACCAGCAACCACAAGCAATTCAAGTGTGCCTATTCAAAGAGACTGCATCTATAGTCCAATTATATACCCTCAGGTAGAGAGATTCAGTATTACTCCTCTGATAAGCATTAACTAGTGTTGCCACCTTTAAATTTAGCAAAATATGGACAAATATTCTAAATATACCCACAGCCACCTTAAGCCAATTCACCAATCGATACTTAGTTTGCCCAACTGCTTTTGACTTATGGAAAATAATGATAATAGCTGCTATTGAGCTTCATTAAGTTAAAATAATCTTACAGTTAAAATAAGGAGAGAATAGTGTCCATATTAGGACCAGTTTGCAGTATGGACATGGCTTCTGAATCATGCACCTTCCATATTAATTATGAACAGGTGGCAACCCCAGCAACAATCACAGGATTCCAATTATTTTCTCTTTACTTTGGAGGTGAAGCTTTTCAGAGATCTATAAATGGGAGGTCCACCTGATCCATCTGAGCACTCTGTTTTTAGGTCATTTTGGGAAAAACAATGTCAGAATGAGCATCCGTGAACAATAGAAATGAAAAAAAAATTGTGCTGCAGTTTCACATGAAAACTCGAATGAAACAAGGAAAGTAAATTCAGGTATACTGATTTAAATAAGCAGAGAAGAGGGAAGGGCAGTTTTAACACACTAGGCTTTGCATGTCATGAAAAAGCAAGAATTAGGCAGGGGAGGACTGAGACAAAAAGAAATCGGCGCAAGTATTTTTACTCACACTGGCCCACATTGAGGCTGTGGCTTATGACTGATTCACTAAAACGAAACACTAGGTCTAATTATTAGGCCTACTTCATTATTGGTGCAGCTGGGGGAGGTTCATCAACTCACAACTGCAAGGCGCTCTGGAATCGCCCTGCGCGGGTGGCGACGCTATTGGGAAGATGTATAGCTGGTTCCCTCCCAGAAAACGTAATATCGACCCAGGACGGTCAAAAGAGGAGAAAGTTCCTTACATTCTCGTAAACTGACCTGGGATGTTTGAATATATTATGGAGTATGGCGGAGGAAAGAAACGTTTATGGGGGACAGGGTTATCATGTATTCAGCATTTAAAATTTCTTACACATTGCCATTGCAATGCAACAAATAAGGGGGAGAGTAGGTAGGAATGAACGTGAGGTATCGCAAGCAGGGATGCATGGAAACGTTGTGCCACACATTACACATGAAAGAAGCACATGTGCTTCCAAAAAAAAAAAAAACATTGGGTCACCCAAGCTCGACATGACCTGCCTGACAACCCTGACCCGTCATTCCATCTCATAGAGTGTATATAGATGTCTCTGGAGAGGCCTTCGCTGCCTCGAGAGTTACACGTGCTTCCGCCTTCTTGGGATGATCTCACGCGTGGAAATGAATAACGTGATTGGTTGGGTCCGGCGTGGAGGTCCCCAGGCATATAGCTAGGGGCAAGTTGCCTCTTTTGCCCTGCCCCACTCCAGGAGTCTGCAATGAACTCCTTGCTTGTGCGACTTCAGTAAGATGGCTGCCGCGCCTGGAAGGGTGCAGCGCCTCGCTTCATAGCGGAGGCCCCTCCATTTATTCACTATGTTCCATCTCTTTTGCCCTATCTGGTGACCTGTGAGGTCCCACTCGTAGCACCTTGTTTAATCCCCCTTCTTCCTTTGTCGGCTCTCTTCTCCATCCATCAGTCCTATAGTTAACCGCTTCCTGATTTACCCGTCTCTAATGCGTGCGACGTCGTCCTTCCCAAAACTGACTTCTCCGCATGAGACACCGGCGACTTGTGTTTCGTTCTTGATCTGTCCGTATCATTCGACTAAGCTTTGGCCTACCTGTATTTTTAACTTTGTCAAATAGATTACATGAGTTTTGTGAATTGACATTTTTGATTTGATTCATTGCAACAAAAAAAGTAAGTGGTTAAGCAGCAATAACTTTTTTCTTTCCTTTCTGTTATTTTTTTAAATATTAATTTTTTATTATTTAAAGCAGGGAATGAATTATATTACGCAGTACTAGCTACAATCCCGGGCTGGGAGCGCGTCCCCAGCCCGACTGGGAACAGCGATGCGGATATTTCCTCTTTCCTTATCGAACGTAATATGATCCAGGGAAGTTATACTATTACTTGGAACACAATAAAGTTGGAACAAAGACGAGATTCAACAGGAGATTCACAGGCCAAGACGAGAATGTAATGTGAGAGAATTTAACCCTTCCAATTTTCGTTATTTTCATTTGGAGACATGTGTTTAAATTCTCATACTAAAAATAGCGTCCTATATTGCGTGCAGTAAGTTTTTTGATGGATGGATTGAACTGCTATTATTCGAAGTTATTGCATAGATGATTTGGAAAGCAGCAATTACCTTCTGTGACGAGCAAGTTTTAGCTATATTACAATGTTCCTAAGTTTCCGTGATTTGTGATATTTTCGTGAATTACGAACTTTGCAGGATAAAAAAAATTTGCATGAATGGGACCTTCAATAGGTTTCATTTCTGTGCAGGAATTGACGACAGACAAAAAAAAAATAGACTAAGCATTCCTAGCGGATGGTACTCCGTATACACGAACCACACATTCCCAACGCTGCCTCGCTGGTCGCACGAAGTTCATTTCCAAGTTATGGTGGCTCACACCACCATCAACGACAAGCAATTCTGTTGTGTTCGTCCGTCGCAGGGGTCGATGCTGAATGCAGTGATCACGACTCCGTTGTTAAACTAGAAGCGGTAAGAATTTTGATGTGTATGTAAAAATTTTCCCACGTGGACAGAAGCTTCATTCTCCGGGATGTCACCCATTTCCAGCAATCCCTTGGAGATACCAATGGCCAATCCGTACCAAAACTCACGTATCATGTTGCCAACCAACTCCATCGTGGAAGCAGTCGCTTGCACGATTGCCTGATACAACTGCACTTCTGCGATAGTTGGAATACCAAACACGTTTCCCAACTGTAAACGGGAAAGGAGTAGATGGATCACCGGATGGAGAACAAAGGACAAAAAATAACGCGGAATAATAAATTCGCACGTGAAGGTAAACTCAGGTCTTATAGGCATCAAATTGCAGGATGCACAATCGATGCTGCACAGGTGACGTGACGAGCCTCCTCATGACTTCCTTCGAACAGTCGTCGCACCCGATCACTTTTATTCGTTTCCACAGCTGAAGGAACACCTGCGTGTGAGATTTCAGAGTGACGACGCGGTAATCGCGGAGCTGAAGGGTGTTCGGGGGGCTCAAGAGATTGTTTCAAGACGGGCATGGGGATGTTATGGAGACGATGGAATAAGTCTATTCTTATTGTGATTATGTTGAAAAATCGGTGAAAGAGTGAAATACTCCGTTTGGGAATGAAGAGGAATTTTCCGTCGGGGGTTTACTGTATTCCTTTCGAAGAATTGACCGTTGAGAAGTGCCCTTCGGGGAGGATTTCTTGATAGAAAAATCCAGCTCTGAGTAAAGTCCGTTCTTGGGAAAGCTTCTTTTCTGGGGAATAAACTGCTTTGGGAATTTTATTTCAGGGAGGAGTCCGTTAATCTGCCAAACTTGGGGGAGTGGGAGGGATCCATCACGAGTGTGAATGCAAGGGCTATCATCGGGCGATTCAAAAAGACTATAAATACGTCTTATCTGGGGGACTAGTAAGGGTTTCAGGGTGATTCACAGAGTGGATGCTCAAGTTGAAGTCGTGGGTTGAGACTCACATGGAAATTACGATGGGGGTGACGCCTTAGACGATGATCGGCAGTCGGTTGGAAAGTAGGACTTCCTTGGCCTCCGTGTTACAGGTGCCAAGCTGGGACACCTGTGGGGAACAAGGCGATAGAGAAGAAAGTGTCCCGAAACATTTCTAACGGAGAAAGCAGTAGAAAAATCGTGAAAGCTGAACTCTTCGTTCGTGGAATGCCTGTGCGAAAGCATCATCCTGTACCTTTTAGTTTAGTGCAATAGTGCTCTGAAGTAGGATACTCTCTTCATAATTACCCTAAATATTCGCTAAATCCGAAGGAGAGAAGTGACCCTTGGGACTTTTATTTTTCCCCCCAAATGTGGGGCTTCGCCATTTGACGATGAGGACTCGATTATTCTTTGTTCTAAATAATACACCTTTTGAAAGAAAAATATTATATTCTATTAGAGGGGGTAGGAGAGAGGGTCGAGCATTCCTGGAGGATGGTACTCCTTACACCCTCACTCTACCGGTGCAACCCCCGCGTTGCCGTTTGTAGAAGGCCCCATGGAATTGATAATTCCGGGAGGTGAGACAGTTCATCGTAGGGGCTGATACTGTATGCAGTTCTGACGAATCGTGGCTGAATGAGAAACGATGAAGTTTGTCGCGCGTGGAAATTCTTTCTACGTGGATCGGATCTTCATTCACTAGAATTTGGTCCATTTCAAGTAATCCCTCAAAAATTCCTGGGATACTCGCCAACCCGTACCATAGTGACGGCAACAGGCGTCCCATTCCCTCCACTGTCGACACAATCACTTGAAAATTGTGTTATATAATTGCACTTCTTTGATAGTTGGAAGCACATAGAGCCAATAGCCTGAAATTTTGCAGGGACCTGTTGGAATGCCACGCAACAAGACATTTCTGATGAATTGTTGCATGCAACTAATTGTAGTTATACCACTACAACCATTAAGCAAAGTGCTCGAGTATGGAGTGGCACCAAATGTCATCCCACCATCCAAGAAAGCCAAGCCCATCCAATTGGCAGGGAAGGTCACAACTACTATGTTTTGGTAAGCTTTTCCTTTCACAGATTCACTTTCTTCCAGTGAAAAAGTGAATCCAACCTGGTATATTGCCATACTGCAGAGATTTGCATGCATATTCAAATGGAAGTGGCCAGCAAGGAACATCAAAATGGTTCCGATGCAACATGATTATGAGACCCTATAGTTGTCAATTCAGTAACTGTTACAAGTGCATGATATGAACTGGCAATGATACTGAATACAGCTCCGACCTTGCCCCAGTATTACTTTTTCTTTCACCAATGAAGGACTCATGGAACACATTCCTTAAGTTATGAAGCAGTGCAGCAAAGTGCTGTTCACTAGCAGCACAGCTACAGGAGTTTTACTATGCCAGTTGAATGTGGAATATGTATCAAACACTTGGATGACTTCAAGAAAAATAACATTCATGTGACTATGCATGGGCTCCATACTCTATTTTGCATCTTTATTACCTCTATGGCTATTGTATTTCCAGAGAAAAAAATTTAGAAACATTACTTTTAAATACCTACTTATACATAGCAATCACTTTCTTGTCTCAGATATTGCCACAAGATGATGTCAGCCTTGGCTCTTTCAGTAGTGAGTTTACTAAGATCAGCTCTTTGCAAAGGAATTAGTTTTTTTTTTGCATGGTCTGTATATTCTCCAAAAACACAATAACAAAGTTATTTTAGCATTTAGGAATCTAATCTAGATGTAATCATTCAAGATGCTCATACCCAATATTAAAGGACATACTTGCAAGGCTGTATTCACAAAGGAAGACTGCACAGCTGCACATGTATGACTGCATTATCCAAAAGGGTTTTAAAATGTGCTTGTTCTCTCCTGATTCTGCTCTGTTCTCAAGTCATGATCTTTGAATGCATTGGCATCAGTGTATCCCCAGAAAAAAAAAACCATATTCTTATCTTCTGCTTATGAGAATTTCTAATATTACTGCTTTCAGGTGCTTATGAGGCATATTCACTTCTCTGGAACCAACACAGTTTTAAATGTGTGCATTGGCTCATACAAAAGGCCTACATTAACCAATAACTTACTGCTAATATCACAAAAGGCTTCATTCTTGTTTTAGGAACTTGATTAAATTCTTCCTAACAAAGCAAAACATACACAGAGGTGCAGAATGAGAGGAGGGAAGATAAACAGGAGTCATGAAGGAAGTTTATCAAAGAGAACAGTGTGAAATTATGCAGAAATTTAGAAATGGTAGTAAAGGTGAACAGTCAGATGGATATCAGGCACAGTAGGAATACAACAGGTGTCCAGTGGTGCTGCATGCATGCCATCATGATGGCATGCATGATTGATGGGCAAAGACAAAGGAATAATGAGGAATAATGGAAATATTAATCTCTTCAGGTCTCCTTCAAGGCCAACCAGTCAATATAATTTGAAGAAACAAACATGTTACCCTCCAATTTCTCCTTATTTCCATAGAAGAGTAAAAACAGACCAGCAACCACAAGCAATTCAAGTGTGACCATCCAAAGGTACAGTATCTATGGTTCAATTATATGGCCTGATGTGAGGATTCCGATATGCTCCTCGGAAAAGCATCAGCCATAGGATTCACTTAATCAATCGGCTTCGGTAGCGCATATTTCCTTTCTTTAACCCTTTCCCATAATAAAATTCAACCTCCTCAAATTACTCTCTGAGAGCATCAACAGGAACGGAATTAGGCATGTTTCTTCCTCTCTCAACACAGAATCGCTCGATTCGATTTCAAGCAGAGACGCGGGAAGGAAAGGGTTTCATCACACTAGGCCAAGCTTGTGATAAAAAAAAAAGCAAGAGTTGCTTTAGGATTAGGTCAACTTTGGGTGGATCGAGGCACTATACGACGGATCTGGTCCAAAGAGTGAGACAAATGTAATAAGGTCTAGAACAAGTTCAACTCACGGCCAGCAGGTGCACCTTCCCTTGTGAAACCAGACTCATGAGAAGAATCTAGAAGATAACAAAAACAGACTATGCTAGGTGTGAGCTGGAAAACGCGTCTAGCACCCAACCACCCAACGGGTGACCATCGTGCGTCGCGCCGTGTGGGAAAGCGCTGCACGCATCCGCTGAGTTCCATGCATGTGCTTCGCGTGATGCACTCGACTGCACGTTCGGCGTATTGCGCAACTTTTTGCCGAATGTTTACCAAAAATTGCATGCTTATGTATTTAATGAATTCAGCAAATACGTTGCATATTGCGTACTTTTTTTTTTCTTTTTTCATGCAATGAGCAAGTGGAGTTTCAAGCTGGACGTTTTTAAAATCAACAAGACCCTCCGGTAACCTGTCCCTCCCGATTTTGCCCGGGTTTGAGGCCGCCGCACACGAACCGTTTCTCGCTGAAAATCGGGTCGTGTGCAGTGGCATCCGATGGCGCTACGTCCGGAATCGGACATTCCCACTTTCCCCAGCACTTACCCATCCTCCAACCGTGATTTACTCCGGACCCCATGGTTGGTCTGCGAGTTTTCACGGTTTTGCCACATCGATACATTCGGCTTGAGGCTCGGTTGCAAAAAATCACGAAGAAGAACTCTCTGAACTTCTTTGGGACTCGGCAGTTTTAAGGGCAGTTTTAACACACTAGGCTTTACTTGTTATGAAAAAGCAAGAATTAGGCAGGGGAGGACTGAGACAAAAAAAATCGGCCCTGGCATTTTTACTCACACTGGCCCACATTGAGGCTGTGGCCTATGAGTCTAAACTGATTCACTAAAACGAAACACTAGGTCCAATTATTAGGCCTACTTCATTATCGGTGCAGCTGGGGCAGGTTCATCAACTCACAACTGCAAGGCGCTATGGAATCGCTCTGCGCGGGTGGCGACGCTATTGGGAAGATGTATAGCTGGTTCCCTCCCAGAAAACGTAATATCGACCCAGGACGGTCAAAAGAGGAGAAAGTTCCTTACATTCTCGTAAACTGACCTGGGATGTTTGAATATATTATGGAGTATGGCATGGGAAAGAAACATTTGTGGAGGGACAGTGTTATCATGTATTCAGAATTTGCAATTTCCTTACACATTACCATTGCAACAATTAAGGGGGGAAGTAGGGAGGAATGAAAGTGAGGTATCGCAAGCAGGAGTGCATGGAAACGATGGTGTGCCACACATTATACATGGAAGAGATACATGTGCTTCCAAAAAACAAAACAAAATAGGGGGTGACCTCAGCTCGACTTGACCTGCCTGACAACCCTGACCTCTCTTTATATTTCCTTTGCCCTTTCTGGTGAGGTCCCACTCGTTGCATCTTGTTTAATCCCCCTTCTTCCTTTGCCGGCTCTCTTCTCCATCCATCAGTTCTATAGTTAACCGCTTCCTGATTTACCTGTCTCTGATGCGTGCGATGTCGTCCTTCCCAAAACTGACTTCTCCGCCTGAGACACCGGCGACTTGTGTTTCGTTCTTGATCTGTCCGTATCATTCGACTAAGCTTTGGTCTACCTGTATTTTTAACGTCAAATAGATTACATGAGTTGTTTGAATTGACACTTTTGATTTAATTCATTGCAACAAAAGACGTAAGTGGTTAAGTAGTAATAGCTTTTTTATTTCGTTCTATTTTTTATTATATTAATTTATTATTTTTTAAAGCAGGAAATGAATTATATTACGCAGTACTAGCTACAGTCCCGGGCTGGGAACAGCGATGCGGATATTTCCTCATTCCTAATAGAATGTAATATGATTCAGGGAAGTTATACTAATACTTGGAACACAATAAAGTTGGGACAAAGACGAGATCCAACAGGAGATTCACAGACCAAGACGAGAATGTAATGTGACAGAATTTAACCCTTCCAATTTCGTTATTTTCATTTTGAGACCAGTGTTTAAATTCTCATGCTAAAAATAGCGTCCCATATTGCGTGCAGTAAGTTTTTTAATGCATGGATTGAACTGCTATTATTCGAAATAATTGCAGAGATGATCTGGACGTTCCTCATGATGGTGAGAGAAAATGTAAAGGAGTTTCACTCCCTCATTGGCTGCTTCTCTTAGGCCGGATCGGATTTAGAAGAAAAGCATCCTCAGCGAGCCGCGTGGGAAGTGTATCGTTGCACTCACAAGGGGTGTAGAGCTGCAAGCTGCCCCATATTCGAGTTTCTCGATGGTGCTGCTCTCTTCCGTTGAGCATAGCAAGCAGTTGTTGAAGTGGGAGGAACTCGAAGGAAAATGGAAAAATAACCAGATGTCGATGTTCCGCACTTAGAGAGCTAAAGACGAAAATCATCGATTCATTTTCGGTTCTTGTAGGTTCAGGGACGCAGATTTTGAGCTATGCGAGGAAGTCGTCGATGGGTTAAAGGGCGGGGTAAAGGGTTGAGAAGAAGAAGATGGAAACGCTGGGAGCAAGGAAAGGTACTTCTTATCGTCTTCGAACGACGGTGCGGATCCCGGTCGGGCCGCGTTCCGCGAGGCATTTCGTCGATGCTCGTTTCCACAGCCGAGGTGATTAAGGCGAAGCTGGCCATGGCGGGACTGATCCAAGGACTAAACGGGAACCTGCTGTCGACGGCGGAGAACCCGTACGGCGTCACCAACCGGGCGTTCGACGACGCGGACGAGGACCCGGGAAGTTTCTAGGGCAGCCTGAAGATGGCGGCACTGTCGTCGAGTCGCAACTCGCTCGCGAGGAATTCCCTCTCGCAATCTCGGCAGGATCGGCTCAACTTCATGGTTTCGGTTTGCGAGAGGTGTCTTTACGCTTACACATTCTTTCCCGAGCGGGTCCTTCGCGTGTTGAGATGTACCACGAAATTTTGTGAAAATTAAAAATGGGCACCTCTTCATGCTTTTGTGGGCTGAAAACTTTTCAACCAAAACAAACACCATTTTTCTTTGTCCCATGATGTGTCCACTTAAGGACATGTCATTAAAAAAGCAACAGCACTCGGTGTTCACAGGCAGCCTCCCATCCAAGTACTAACCGAGCCCGACGCTGATTAACTTCGGTGATCGGACGAGAACCGGTGCGTTCAGCGTGGTATGGGCGTTGGCTGATGAAATTGGCACCCCCACGAGCTTACATAGACAACCTCACGCAGGGCGAATCCTCTTCCTAATACGCCTAGAGATGATGCTCAGATTCGGATTCGGTATTCGAAGCGACGCGTCCTTTTCTTCTCTTCCTACTCACACGCGCGGACGAGACGAGCGTGTGGCCGCGGTTTTCGCGCATTCCATTTGTCTATAAATGGGCCCGCAGGCCTACCTCCAACGAGGAGCTGGATACTTACCTTCAAAATTCCGGTGAAAGTTTGCCAACCAAATAGGTATTAGCCAATGTTCTACCCTGGCGTTCAAACTCCCCATTTCCGTCGGGTAAATTCCTCTTGTCTCTCACGGTTTTCCGTGCGTCTCTCGTTTCCATTTTCCGACACCGACGCACATCGG